TTCTCTTAGCCTCTTTAGCCAGATTGTGTGCACTACTTTAGTGTAGAGGGCACACTTGCAATTGAACAAATGCCAGGCACCACCTAATCGGCGACATTGTTCAAGATACCAAGTCGTGTAGGGATTGAAAACTTCCGGTCACTTGATGTGCTGTATCCATTAGCTCTTACCATACAAACACATTTTTAGATCCTATGATGCTAATTATTTGCACCGCATATGACTAGTTTTCTCTTTGTGACAACTATGTGCTCTAGTCTCTTGATGTATTTTTTCCCTACATATTTGACATGGTTCTCTCTGTGCTCTTTTTAACCATTGATCTGTTGCATATGAAGCCTACCAATTTCTTTTTTTCTCCTTTTTTATTGTCTGATGTTGATGAAAAAACAAGGTCATGTTTATTTTCTTTATCTAACAAGATGGTAMTTCTGTCAGAATTCAACCATTAAACAAATAAATGAAGGACGATAAAACTCATGGAATCAAGCCTTTTGTTTTGCCATTTAAATATCATGTTCTCTCTTCTTTTATTTCCTACCATTCGGTTGTCTATGTGCATGATTATCKATATCGACATGACACTAACCRAAGAGAGATCAATATATGTGTTTGTGTATATATATACACCAAAATGAAAATATATTTTGTTACCATAAACTGGATAATTAGTTTGTGTCAATAGATAACCATACGTCATATATAGATTTTCCTTCGTTAACAGCTTAACATTGTTTTGCAGGTTTTAATCAAATCTAATGGAAAGGAAGTGATCGTGAATGATAAATATCTTAAGGCTGACTATACTGTGCTTGCAAGATCAAGGTGATTCAGGCGTTCACTTATTGATGATGACAGTTGCTCTTGATCATCTACCACATGCAAAATCTTCACAAGCACGGAACTGTGGATGTAAGTTGACCAGCCAACTTTTTTTTATCCGTCTTGTTTTTCTTTTTCTTTTCTTATTATTTTTTCCCTCTATGTTACACTTGTGTACTTTTTTTCCTATATTTATATATTTGCCTTTCCTTTTCTTAAGTTGTATATGTCGGATATCTCATGATACGAGTCTTTCCCAACAGTAACTAGTGAAAAATGCGAAGTAATGGTAATGCATGGTGGTTTGATAGGTTACAAGCAATTGCATCCAATTTGGGGTTCCGTCCTCTTTACGCTCCCTCTATATAGAGAAGAGAGAAATATCTCTTTTTGTGCAATTCCATTCAGAAACTAGAGGTAGAATTTACTTTTCCACCAAAAAAATCTGGCTTGACCTGTAGACTTGTGCTCTTGTTAAAATGTTTCTTGTTTGAATTCTTAACACCGAGAATTATATATGCTGCTGGCATCGCGTTGTCTTGTTTTGTTCTATTGCAAATCTTGATTGAATTTGTGCCTTTGTTTAGAATTTACCTTGAAGTTGTTGAAAGCTGCAGGCATATACTTTGACTTTGGATGTTAAAGAAATGGCTTTCAGCTACAAAATTCATAAAAATTTCATAACTGTTTGAGTAAATACTGCAAGGATTTAACTTTGTGACAAGTATAAAAAGAGTAACATTAGGTGTTAATATACTTCTTTGGATGTTAATGAATTTATCTATATTCTTGTTGGGCTTTAATTTTTGTTTTTTGTAGTTTTAATTTTGTAGCTGGTCCTCCCCTATTTATATTTTCTTTATTTCCCTCCTTTTTTGTCTTCAAATTTTCATACCACTATTTTTTTTCAGTTTTATATATTTCTTTTTGAAAAGAAAAAGATGTTCAAGTACTATTTTTTTCAGTTTTATATACAGTCAGGTTGACCAAGTGAAGATGCTTTTATATATCCAACTGTTTTGAACGACTAACTCATTTCATGTACTTTTCCCTTTTAAGTTCAATAAAGTTCACATCTAACTCATTTCTCTCCTTTATTTCCTCCAGTTTGTGGGGTTTTATAAATTTCCGGTGGCCTATTTCAAGAAAAGCTTGCAAGGAAACCATTGAAGATCTATTGTTATTCAATCACTGCCTGTTTCATTCTTGTCCAACCCCAAGATAATTCTCTGCCTCACTACTGAAGGATAAAGACACATTGTGTGTCATTACTATAGATGTTGAATAATTGATGAGCTTACTGATATATATTCATAATAGCATACATGCTTCCGGGAGTATCTACCATGTCATTGAAATTCTAAACATGCATCCCTCATGGCAACAATGCTTATGCTCTCACTTTGTCCAACTCGTGGCACTGGTTGTGTTTAGGACGGCATCATGTGCTCATTTGAGAATTGTGAGTTCATGAGCTTGCTTTAAACCTCCTGACCAAAAAGCATATAGACACCTTCTCTGTGTCGTTAACTATAGATGTTGAATAGTTCACGGGTTTGATTATTTTTATAATTTCAGAGATGATTGGGGGAGCATCTACGATGTTATTAGGATCCAACCCGTTTGTATTCTTAATCACATCTTGTCCAACTACGACACAATCACCTGTTGTGTTTCCAAGGGTATCATTTCTGAGACCTAAGTTTGGTTCTTGCTTAAATCGCTTAATAGCAAAAGACTTCCTCCTTCTAGCTCCAATGAGGGGACCAGCCCTTCTAGCTTCCGTTCCATCAACCTTCAAGATTCCATCTGCAGGTCTAACTTCTACTGGACTAACCCCTTCAGTTGGTCGAGCTTCATGAATATGGATAGCAACATCACTCAAGCTATCCTGATTGCGGGAAGATGCAACTTTAAGTTGATTAAGATATGCATCCAACTCATTTCTCTCGTCTTTCTCCAATTTGCATGGAAACCATTAACAATCCAGTATCATGTGACGGGTTCGTTGTTCCGTTATTGCCTGTGCCCCCAACATTGGTTTCTGTCCCATTACTAAAGTTGGCATCAGGGACAGAAGGAACTGATAAAGGTTCCTCTATAATTGTGACTTTGATGGTAGGTATGTCATATGAAGCAGCTGGAGTCTGTTATGAAAGCTGCTTTTGCTTCTTCTTTGATTGTGTGGTAGGAGCCACCAAATGCTTGTGCCGTTGGGTATGTTTCTTATTTGATCTCTGTTTCCTCGATCCCATGCTCTCTTCAAATGCATCAATGAAATCAGAACATGACATAAGATTCTCAACAAGTTCCCAAGGATTAGCTGTCTCCGGCTAGCCACGCCAGATGATGAGATATTGTGTTTCCCCTTGTGAATCCTTTTCTTTTGTACAACTCTGATCTTATAGTATCCATTAGCTAAAGATGTTCTTCATCACCATTTGCTGCTACTCGTTGGATACCTACATCACCAACTTCACATGCTCCTTGTAGTCTTTGTGTTTGTTTTCATCGTACACATTTTCACTACTGTTGTAGTCATTCATCGGCTGCTGTTTTTGCTCTCACTTCTACTTGCTGTACTCTACCGTTCGTTCCCTTGATCATTATCTTGCTTCGGACTAGATGTAGTGGTGGTGAAAGCTCAGAGCCTGTGGTTTTCCTTCTAGTTCCGCCCTAATCCATTGGATTTGTAAGAATCAGTTTGTAGAAGGTTCGTCTTTGTTCCAGCAGTCACATCAGTTCAGGATTTGGCTACCAATTGATTTATTTTTCTTCACCACGCTGCATGTTGGAAGGCTGGCCTATGCAAAGCTGGTGCTGCCTATGCATACAAGACATGGCCTCAATGGTGCATTTGGTATTTTTCTATCTCCTCACTTTTGGATTATATTTTTGCACTATTCTAAGTTGGGCATGCAAATTGGTATTTTATGCTCCCAATCACAATTAAGGAGCTTCTCATGCTTGATGCTGAAAGGGTATGGATGTGGGTAAGAAAAAGGATTCCATATCATCCTTGCAGCAGCTTTCTGGGTCATCTGGAGTGGAAGAAATAGAAGGATATATCTTCAAAAAAATAAATGCTGAGAGACCAGAGGATGCTGTTTTAACAAGTTTACAAGCATCTCATTGGGACGGGAAACATGAAGCCTCTATTCAGTCCAAGGGTTCCAATCATGGTAGGTCTACCTCAACCTCTTGTGCTTTTATTTTTGATGTAACTAACTCACTGTGTTTACTTTGTGTACAATGCACTTTCACTTTTTAATAGTAAAGTCTGTGAGTACTTTTCTTTGACCTAGTGCTTATAGATCTTAAATTCAATTGTTTCTAATCAAGTGTTAACACTCAGAATAATTTAATTTTTTATCTAGTTGTAACCAGAGTTAATTTGGTGAGCTTTGCCTTTAGAACATTTTCTTCCATTTCAAAAGCTTGATGAGTTCTTTGATCTCCTGTAGGCCTTGAGCTTATCAAAAGAAGAGCAGCAACTTTCCATGTTCAGACTAAGGTGCCGTTTACCAAACACTTACCCCAGTAAGCGCTTACCAAGTCACTTTATTTTACCGGATGAATATGGCAAGGGTTAAAAATCTTACCCGGTAAGAGCAAAGACAAGAATCGAGAGTCTTACCCATTAAGAGAGAACGAGGACTCTTACCATGGTTAGCGCTTACCGGGATAAATTGTTGCATACGATGCGTTTTAGTGAATAAAATCTTACCCGATAAGTAAACAATTGTGTTAAATTTTAGCGGTAAGTGCTTACGGGGCAAGTGTTTAGGTAAATGGCCCCTAACATAGAATTTTCAACTGTCATGTAAAAATTGCGAGCAAGAAACAAGTTCACACTAAGATAGATTTCAGCAATTATCCCACTGTTGACTACCAAGTTGTATGGCTAGGTAACCAAACTATTTCTTAAATTTCTTAAAAAATTTAAGTCCTTTATTGTAGCAGTTGATGATAGAGAGCACCCCATTTGTCTTTTGAATCTTTTCTATGCTATATGTTGAAAATATTATGTGCATGAGTTCTATAGTAATTACTGGTATAGTTTGTTGAACTGTAGTTTTTCATTGACAGTTGTATACACCAGTGATTCTAAAACCCCTCCCAGTTAAGAAACATGTTCTTTCAAAAATTGTCGACTGTTTGTTTCTTCCTTTTCTGATGTGAAATTAACATATTTATACCATCGATTAGGTATGGACTCATGACAAAACAGATTATAAAGGGACAACTAAGTTGAATTCTTTAAAATTTGGCCTTATCAATGAAAGTTCTGTTTCTTTATGTATTCTTCATATGATGATATTATATGGTTCTTATGTTCAATTACCTTGCATAATGATCAATAAAATTTTACTGAATTCGGGATGTAAGCTCAGTGGAGCCTTTTCAGTTTTGTAGTTAGCCATAATGGTAAAGGCAATAGTATGTGCTAATAAGGACTTTCATGGCCATTCAAACTTGGAAATGAAAGAAGGAACAATAGTAAGGGGTCGTTTACCAAACACTTATCCGAGTAAGCACTTACCAAGTCACATTACCTTATCGAATAAATATAATAAGGACCAAGAATCTTACCCGGTAAAAGCGAGACAAGGACCAAGAGTCTTACCCGGTAAGTGATGGCGACGACTCTTATTACGGTAAGCACTTATTGGGTAAATTGTTGCATACGATATCGTTTTGGTGGACTAAAATCTTACACGGTAAGTAATGGATAATGTTAAATTTTACTGATAAGCGCTTACTTGTAAGTGTTTGGTAAACGGCCCCTAAGACTTTGTTATGACATCTGATTGATATTTAACTTTCAAAGAACAGGAAATCACCAAGACCAACTATTGTCGACATTTTAGAAACATATTGATGACGCTTAACTAACCTTATGAAAGCATAGTAGTTTTTATCCTTGTGTGAATTCTTTCTTTGATTCGTTCCTTGTTAATGATGTTTGTTGTTTGCTCACTCTAAGATTGTGATATACAGGAGTTGAAGCTAGAGGATTTATATTTGTCCCTCCAATTGCATTGGCTATTGGTGCCAAATTTGTTCCACAGCGCAAACCAAGAAAGTTGCCTGGTACACATTGAATCTTACTTTTCGTTTCCAACATCAGAACTTGAGCAGGTAATATTTTGACAATACATCATCTACCACTCTTATACAACAAGGCCAACAAACCTTGTCCAAATTATTTTGGAGGTAGGCTGACCATTGTGCTCTTAACTTTAGAAATGTAATGTTAAGAGTCCATTATACTCAGAGTAGTTTTTCTTAACTGTTGCTAACTTATGTTGTTCTTTTAAGATCACATGCATGTCCAGTTTACTTTGAAGTCTAAACTCGGTAAGAGTAAGTTAGGGTCTATTTGGTTTGGCTAATTTGGCCAATGTCTATAGTCTATGAAGCAGCAGCAATTCAAACATGCTTACCATAGCTATGCAGTCTAACATTTTCTACAGCTTGTTTTGCTGTAGAAACAGTCCCAAACTA